TCCAGCTCAGATTCTATTGTTACCTGGCATTTCTTTTGCCAGGCTGAAAAAAAAAAAGGAATATTACATAACAACATTTAACAATCATAATGAAAATGTTTAAAGAAAAAAAATAAACCCACAATTTTACCATTTTTACATAATTATTTCACTTTTCCTTGTTTCCTTTTACTCTTTCTCCCTGTACATGAAGAACTATGCTTTGTTTACTATGTGCTCTACTATTTAGAAGGTAAACATCTCATTCTAATTTTTGCTAATTATTACTTAAAACATTTTAAAGAATTTTAAACATTTTAAACATTACATCTAATTATACCAGTGAAATATAACTTTGAATGAAAACAACTTTTTTTTTTAAGGAAGACAAAGAATATAGCACCAGTGTTTTGGTAGGCTTTTATAGAATTAATCAATGGAATGCTTATTCTTCCTGGTAAAATATCTTATCCTGTTAATCACTGTCTTAGCAGTAAGGGAGGGAGACTGGAGGGACAGTGGTGCCATTAATTAGGACAGAGACCCACAAAGAGGAAGAGGAGAGATTTGCTGTGGTCAGTGGAATAATACTAATTCTGTACTTCGGGTTAACCTTACTCAAACATAGAAGTACAGAATTAGCTGTTTAACACCATTTATCCAAGAAATGTTTACACATCCCCTAGCCATGTTGGCCACTGTGCTTGTCCTGAGAATACAAAGTAAATAACATTCATTCTCTGCCCTCAAGGAACTCACAGTCCAGTGGGGAGAAATACTGTTTCCTCTTGTAAAGCTAGCACACTAGCTGGAAAGATCATTTTCCTTTTCCCTACTTCTAAAGACCTGCAACTCATAAGAAATATAGAGATTAAATCCCATATGGACAAAGCGCTTCGGAGTTACATGACCTGGGTCCTGAATTTGGGCCTTGCAATATACTATTAATAGTTGAATGATGATCTTAGACCAAATAACCCTTCTGGGTCTTAGGGCTGTCACCTATAACTACAGAGTTGTTTTAAAGTTGTTGGAAAAGAGAAGGTATGTAGAAATGTTCTGTAAAGTGCAATATACATATTAGCAATTATTGTAATTATAAAAGCTCCATTTCTAACCTGCAGAAACCAGAGGTGAATCAGCCAGACATGAATCAGTCAAAGGTGAAAAGGCACCTTTGAATTCTGTTGGTGGCAAGAATTCCAGGATGAAGGAAAAAACAAGACTGGTGTAACAGAGAAAAAAAGAACAGGCTTTGGGGTCCTACAGACCCCAAAGGTTCTACAGACCTAGTTCAAATCACAATTCAGTCAGTTATTAGCTATGGAAAGTTGAGCAAGTGATGTTATCGATCTGAGCTTTAGTTTCTTCATCTGTAAAATGGAGTTAATAATATCTACCCAGGAGGGTTGTTTTGAATATGTAAAGAGTTTGGCGTGGTGCCTAGCAGAGTTGTTGCTCAATTAGTGGTGACTGCTCTTATTAATATTATCATTTTCCTTTTCTGCCTCCTAAGGGATTTGTTTAGGTGATTAATTTACTTGAGATACAAGGATGTGAGGGAAATGGAAGAGCTATTAAAGACTTGCTTAAAAAGTTATTTTTAAGGCCGGGCGCTGTGGCTCACGCCTGTAATCCTAGCTCTTGGGAGGCCGAGGCGGGCGGATTGCTCAAGGTCAGGAGTTCAAAACCAGCCTGAGCAAGAGCGAGACCCCGTCTCTACTATAAATAGAAAGAAATTAATTGGCCAACTGATATATATATAAAAAATTAGCCGGGCATGGTGGCGCATGCCTGTAGTCCCAGCTACTCGGGAGGCTGAGGCAGAAGGATCACTCAAGCCCAGGAGTTTGAGGTTGCTGTGAGCTAGGCTGACGCCACGGCACTCCACCCCAGGCAACAGAGTAAGCCTCTGCCCAAAAAAAAAAAAAAAAAAAAGTTATTTTTAAAGGTAAAGAAAAACAGCTCAACTCAGCTTTCCTCTCCTAACCTATAGTACAAAAATAACTCGTATAAAAACTGATCACTGCATTATGAAAGTTGGAGCCTGAGAACAGCCACCTTGTTAATTATTCCTTGTATTCTAAGTAGATCTACTAAGCATTGCTAATAAGGGTTCTCTAAAAGAAATGCTTCTCAAACTTTAATATACACATGAGCCATCTGGGGGCTTGTTAAAATGCAGATTTCCATTTAGTGGATTTAGAGGGAGGCATTTCTAATAAGCTCCCAGGTGAAACTCATGCTGCTGGTTCATGGACCACACTTTGAGGAAGTAGCAAAGCTCTGCAATATCTTCCTTGGCATGGTGTTCACTGTAATGGCCTGCCTCTCCTTAGTGATCTACCTAACTACAAACTATTAAAAGGACACTTAACAAGCTTTTTTCTGGACCAGATTTAGAAATTTTGTACAGGGACTTGCTTCAGATCAATATCAACTTTTCTGAGCAGCCTACTATGTACAAGGCACTGTGCAAGGTGCTAGGGATAAAAAAGGTTAATGACACAATTTTACTTCTAAAGACTGTTCTTATTTTAACACTGTGTGGTCTCTAGACTGTTAACCTCCTCAGGACAGCCTTGCCTCCACTATTGCCCAAAGCCGTATAGATAATAAATATTAAATGAATGAATGAATGGGCTCACAGGAGTTCCATTAAAAATGTCTTCTGGTAACACAGGTCAATGAGACACTATTTTTTTTTGGATAGGGTTTCGCTCTGTTGCCCAGGCTGGAGTGCAGTGTGGCATGATCATAGCTCACTGCAGCCTCAAACTCCTCGGCTGAAGGGATCCTCTCACTTCAGCCTCCTGAGTAGCTGGGACTATAGGCACACACCACCACACCTGGCTAACTTTTTAAATATTTTGTAGATGAGGTCTCACTATGTTGCCCAGGCTGATCTTGATGGCCTTAAGCATCCTCCCACCTCAGCCTCCCAAAGTGCTGGGATTAGATGCATGAGCCACTATGCCCAGTGGAGACACGGTCTTAACTGCTCTCTATCTTAACTATTACCTGTAAGAGGTGAATGAGTTAAAATGAGGCTATTAGAGTGGGCCCTAATACAATCTGACTGATGTCCTTGTAAGAAGAGAAAATTTGGACACATGAGGAGGCACCAGGGATGCATATACACCGAGGAAACACCATGTCTGCAAGCCAAGGGTAGGGGCCTTAGAAGAAACCAAACCTACAGACACCTTGCTCTTGGACTACTTACTAGCCTCCAGAACTGTGACAAAGTAAAATTTTGCTGTTTCAGTCACTTGGTGGTATTTCGTTATGGCAGCCCTTGCAAACTAATACAGATTTTTCACACATTTTATGCCCAGATCCAAGACCCTACTTCTGTAAGATACACAAAGTATAAGCATAATTCTAAGACAGGATGAATGAACCTCAAAGTGCGGTGAGAACTATTAATGCAAGGATTAAGGGGAGATAGAAGAGGGTAAAACAGCAGCCCAGATTGGGTTAAAATAGCTGCCATATACACATTTCTCTCCTCATAATCCCAACACAAAATCTGGAGCTGTTCTCTTCCCAAATCTGAGACTGAAAGTAGCTTTTTTACACGTTTTCCTCTTTCTCAGGCTACATTTTAATATTTAACATGATTTCAAAATATTGTGGCAGGAGGAAGACCCCAGATTTGTCTCTGTATTCAACATCCTAAAGACTGCACGTGATGATTGGTCATGAGATTGAATTTTTGACAAATAAGAAAACATCAATAAAATGCACAAATTAGAGTCCTGCTAGCCACAGGGAAATCACGTGCACAAGTTAGAGTTCTACTAGTGACAGGGAAACTACATTTGAAGCCTAATTCTAAAGTAAAGGAATTGGTTTTTTAAATTTTGTTTTTAATAACATGCCAACTGACATGCACAGATGGGTGCCTCTTCTAAAATAATCATTCTGGAAAGTCCTATCTTTATCCCATCACGTCATTATTATCTAATTATGTTGAGTTCCTTTTAGGGTTTGTGAGATAGTCTTTTGAGTGCTCTCACTGTTGACTCTTGAAAATAGATTTGATTTTCAACAAGAATCTGGTGAAGGAGAGCAGTTAAACTGTGTAATGCCAAGAGGACTGACTCTAAAGTATCTAGGCTGGCTATTCTTGAGTGAATTTGCACTCAACCCCAGAAGGCAGTTTCAAAAAAACAAACCCCAAACATGAAGTAAACATGTTATAGGCATGATATCACATTTGAGGGTGGGAGGGGGGATGGTGACTGCACTGAAGGAAACCCCACTCATTTGGATATTGCAAGTTTTCTAAGGTCTTGTCTCCCCAGAATATTTCCTCAGGTCCAGATCTACCCTATGTCATAGGACAAGTTCCCAGGAGTACAAGGACTCCACTGCTTGAGTCAACTTTTAATCTCCAGCTAGGGTATTTAATGTATGTTGAATGAAGAACTGATGGGAAGTTAAATATGGGGGAGGATGTCTAACAGGCTCACTCTACATGACTTGAAGGACAGAAGTTGGAGGCTCTGGAGACATAAATTTCTGCTCCATGTGAGGAAGACATTGTCAGCAGCTGGAGCTGTCCAGCAATGGAGTTAGTTTGCTCTGGAAATAGTGAGCTTCCAGCGCTGGGAGTTCAAAGCAAAGGTTGCTTGTTATGGGAATCTCTAGAGGTGCCTTCTATAATGGGTGAGGATCTATGCACTGACCTCTAAGAGTTATCCCACAGTCCAATCTACACAATACCTGGCACTTGGCATGCCCTGGAAAACACTCAGGGAATGGAATGAGTGAGGAATATGGTGCATCTTGTGAACCAAGCAAAGGGGAAGAGCGCTGGGGCTCAGTCAGCTGCAAGGAAAGGGGAGAGAAGTGAGGTGAAAATATCCAGGAATCCAAGAGGTAGGGTCTTCGTTGAATTTTTGGTACCTCAGGAGAGAAATTGCTTTGGGTACCTAAAGCCTCACATGGTTATATGAAAGGATGATAGCTTCGAAAGGGATAAGAGTTGGGGGAGGAGACAGACCACTGCTCACCCTTCTTAAACTCTTCCAGCACCGTGTCCAGCCGGGTATCATTGAAGACACAGTGCAGGGGCCGATTGTAGAAGCGGGTGACGGTGAGGAGTGGGGTGCAGTCGTCGGGGTCCACGAAAGCCAAGTCCTTGACAAACAAAATGTCTACAATGTTGTGCCGCTGGTCACCCTCGTACACTGGGATGCGAGTGTAGCCGCTGCGCAGGATCTCAGAGACAGTGGCGAAGTCGAGCACCGCGTCTGAGCGCAGCATGAAGCAGTCTCCAAGGGGGGTCAGCACCTCCTCCACCACTTTTGTGCGCAGCTCCAGGGCGCCCTGTATAATGTTGAGCTCTTCCTTCACGAGGTCGTTGTAGGGGTCTGCGGCCCGCAACGTCTCCAGCAGCTTCTCCCTCGTGTAGAAGGTGCTGATCTCCTGGCGCAGCGCCCAATCCAGCAGGCGGCCCAGCGGGTAGCACACGGGGAAGGCGGCCACCATCAGAAGCCGGGTCAGACACACGCTGTGCGAGGCGATGGCCAGCCCGTGCCGAGAACACACAGAGTAGGGGCAGATTTCAGCGCCCAGGAACACGGCGCCAGTGCACACGAGCGCCGGCAGCCATGGGAAGTGAATCCCCACCTCGCTGTAGTCTTCCTCTGTGCCCCCGACGCCCGGCGGCAGCGAGGCATACAGCCAACCCGCCAGAGCCGCGTTGGCTCCGGCTTGGCCCAGGAGCAGGGTGCAGAGCAGATGGGTCCCCCTGCCGCGCACGGCCTGCACGCGGCGCGCCTGCTCCTGTTCGGCTGCCGAGCCGCTGTTCCGCAGCACCCGTAACTCCACCGGGTCCAGCGAGAGCAGGCTCAGGCGCAGGCCGCTGAACAGGGCGGACAGGGCGAGCAAGAGGAGCGCCCCGAGTGCCCGCAGCCAAGCGGGGGCCAGCAAGTCCCCGCCCGGGCCGTAGAGCCGCGGGCGGACGCGCAGCAGGAAGCCGCCAGCCGCGCCGTGGTGGTGCCAAGCGCGCCCATCCCAGGCGCACAGCGAGAAGAGCTTCCCGCCACCTCCCGCGCCGCTCCGCTCTGCTTCGCCCTTGCGCAGCTCCCGCACCCGCACCTGGACCAGGGCTGAGCCCGCCACACCCCCGGGGCGCAGAGGCCCCAGGACCTCCACGTCCGATGCCCAGTCACTCTGCTCACGGCAGCGCTGCGGTCCCGGAGGCCGCGTGGGTACCGCACTGGGCGCCACGCCGCTGCCCCCCGGGGGCTCCTCAATAAATACTAGCCGCGGAGCCCAGTCGCCTGTGCCGTTCTCCCCCGGGGAGACGGTGGGTGCGGGCACCCGCGCGGCTGGCGCCTCGGATCCCGGCTGGAAATAGACTCGCAGGAGGAAGCTGGTGCCTTCGGCCGCACGCAGGGTGCCCCCCTCCAGAGACACGCGGCCTCCAGCGGTGTCTTCGGGCCTCAGGCCCAGAAGCCAAGCAGCAGCAGCCGGGGGCCGGGGAGAAAGAGAAAAGAAGAGCAGGAGCACAGCGCCCCGGCTGCAGCAGTCCCGGAGCCTGACACCCACCGCTGCCGCTGCCGCCGCCGCCGCCGCCATCCTGCACCCGGCACGGCTGCACGTGATACTGCAGAAAGCAGAGCAAGAGCTGGAGGGAGGAGGAGCCGGAGCCGGGAACCCAGCCCCAGGCAGGTCACCACGTGTATGCCCCCAGCTGGAGGCGGTGGGGATTCAGATCTTGTCTGGGCTGGGGGCCCCTGCTGAGTGTTGGAGATGGCCACGCATCATGGCACAGTGTGCAGCCGGTACACAGTTCGGTGTGTCTGAGCTGCAGCCTGGGGAAGGCTTGGCTTGGAGATGGCCTCCTACTTCAGCAATAAGGCGCCTCTGCGAGCTCCTACCCGGCAGTAATTCCCTGCCGGCCCCACTACTTCCCCACTGCTTCCCCATTGGTCCGGAAAATTTCCCAGTTTTATGCTTCTACTCCTGCCACTTGCATTCCCCCTTCTGGCCAAGAGATAGTATGGAGGCAAGTCTTGAATCTGAAAACTTGTAGTGTTTGGTGTCAACTCCAGCTGACCTTTTCATATTATAAAAATTTCCAAATTATTTAAGTTCAGTTTCTTAAGATCCAAATGTCTATCAATAAGAAACGGTTGAAATAAATCATGACATGACTATGCAATGGGATATTATGCAGCAATAAAAAAGAATGAGGTTGATCTATATGTGTGATATGGAAAAATCTAAGTAATTGTAGAAAAATAGCAAGGTGCAGAGTAGCATGTATAATAGTCTACCATTTTTATTAAAAGTACTTTTGTATAAATTTGTATATATACACACACATACATATGCATTTTAAAACGCAGAAGATACACAAGAAACTTGTGGCCGTGTTTACCTCTGGGAAGTAGGATTAGAGTCTGGAAGTTTGGTTGAGACTTTTAAAAAATTTTAGATTAACAGGAAGCTGCAAAGATAAAACAGAGAGATCCCCATACCCTTCATTTAGTTTCCCGCAATGGTTACATCCTAACTATAGTACAATATGAAAAGCAGGAAATTGAGATTGGTGCATAATGTTACGTCATTTTATCACATGTGAATTTATATAACCATCACTACAATCAAAATACAGATCTATTCTATCACCAGAAAGATCTGGAAGATTTTGTTTTACTGAATTCCATTTATTATTTGAATTTACCATGGGCCTATATTACATTATTTTTATTTTATGCATCTATTTTTCAAAATTATATAGTAAAATTCACTTTTTGGTATACTGTTCTATGAGTTTTGACAAATGCATATACTTGTAACCACCACAATTAAAAATAGTTTCATCATCCTTCCCCCCAGATTCTCTTACTATCCTGCTATAGCCAACCCCTCCCTCCATCCCATCCTCTGCAAATTACTGACCTGTTCTTCCCTATAGTTTTCTTTTCCTGAATGTCATATAAATGGAATAATAAAGTAAGTAGCCTGTTTTGGGTCTCACTTCCCTTACTAAGTTAGCATAATGTATTTAAGATTTATCTGTGTTTTGTGTTTATCAGTAGTTTATCCCTTTGGGTTCAGCCATCTGAGTAGCATTCTATTATACGGATGTATCACAATTTGTCCATTTATCAGGTAAAGAACATTTGAGTTATTTCCAGCTTTTATCAATATAACAACGTAGGCCGGGCGCGGTGGCTCACGCCTGTAATCCTAGCTCTCTGGGAGGCCGAGGAGGGCGGATTGCTCAAGGTCAGGAGTTCAAAACCCAGCCTGGCAAAGCGAGACCCCGTCTCTACTATAAATAGAAAGAAATTAATTGGCCAACTGATATGTATATAAAAAAATTAGCCGGGCATGTGGGCGCATGCCTGTAGTCCCAGCTACTTGGGAGGCTGAGGCAGAAGGATCGCTCGAGCCCAGGAGTTTGAGGTTGCTGTGAGCGAGGCTGACGCCACGGCACTCACTCTAGCCTGGCCAACAAAGCGAGACTCTGTCTCAAAAAAAAAAAAAAAAAAAAAAATAACAAAGTAGCTATAAATAAAAAGGTCTTTGTGAGAACATAAGTTTTTATTTCTGGGATAAAATATAAAAGTAACAATAATTTCACATATTACCTTTGGCACCAGTGACTAATGTAAAAAAAAATCATTGCTATGTGTGACATCTTATTTTCTATGGCATTTGTGAGACTCCAAAGACTCTGGCCCAGAAAGTCTTGCAAAGGATAAAGCCTAATACAAATGATCCCAGCTAAAAGTTACCTTTTTTCATAACAAACTCTTATGACCTGGAGTGGAAATAGCTTCTTCCTGGTTTGGGACTGGATAGGTCTTAGTAAGGTAGGCTGCTGGTCACATTCTTACATGGGTTGCTTTTTCCTTTCTGCAGGGTATGTGAAACAACCTGCCATTGCCTTAGAATATGCTAGACCTTGTCCATTGCAAGCTGCTTCTTGCATGGGCTGCTTAAGAAACAGAAGGGAGGTTCAATCTGAAGAGGGAACATTAAAGCATTTATTGGAAGTGTAGGGGAAAGAGAGAACTGGGGTTAACCATATGATAATTTTTCTTAAGTGTTGGCAAAAAAGTTCTTATTCTTTCGTGACACTTCGACTTTTCTCCCTTCCTACCTAAACTCCTCAGCACAAAGATACCTGTTATCCTCAGGATTCTCCTACCTCTTGTAGGCTACAGAACTTTATCATCATTACAATACCAACTAATGCCTTTATCAAGCTTTAGACTTACAAAGGAATTTTGTATTTATTACTTCATATACACAAGAGCTCTGTGAACTAGATATAATTATACCCATTTTAGAGATCAGGTTACATGACATTACAATACAACTTCTTTGTATTCTAGGTTGATGCTCCCTCTATCTGGTAGAATTGACCAAAATAACCCTTTCAAAAATATTAGAGCAGGAATTAAAAAACCTAAATTTCTTATTATGAAGTATTACATACTTATTAAAAATAGATTTTAATGTTGAAAAACAAAATAAAAATAAACTATAATCCCACCAACTAGAGATAAACACTGCTAATATTTTGGCATACTCCTTTTTTATTTTCTACATGGATAAATAATTGAGAAATATACACACACATACAGTATGCTGCATATATTTATATATTTTATAATTGAATAGATATTATATATAATTCTAGTCTTCTGTCACTTAATATACCAAGAGCTTTTTCTCCAATGTAATAACAATTCTTTAATAAACATGATTTAATCATATATATTATATATGTATTATATATTTTTTGAGAAAGAGAACTATAAGAATAATCCTATTTCCAATTGCATCAGCTCTATTATTAACAAGTGATAGGCTTGGGAAATCAATTCACTTTTCTAGGCCCATTTCCTCATTTGTGAAATGCAAGACAGTTTTAAGGTCCCTACCCTTTGATGAGTCAGTGAGTAGGGGCTAATGTACACTGGATGAAGATAATCTAGAGAGACTGAGTACTTTTCCTTTTACTGGCAGGAGGTTCTGGAAAAGTACTGGGTTTCCAGAGCTCTGCTGTAACTGAAAGGATTCCTGGGGACAGGTTCAGACAGTGTGATTGTCATAAGAAAGAGCTGCCAAAAATAGCTCCCCAGAATCTGAATGTTCACTGTCTTCCTAGCTTATAAGATGGGCACTTCCTCACTTTTCAGAGAGATGGAGGAATTATTAACATTGCTTTCCTCTAATATCATAACTATAATATTTCAGAATGTACATGTTAAATGTTTTTATTTTATTTCATATTCATCTATTCCATAAATATATGTTAATCAATGAAGTACCAGGCTCTGTGCTGGATATTGGGCATATCTGACACTATCCTTGCTGTCTCGGAGCCTAGGTTCTACTGAGGAAGACAGACATGAACCAGAAAGTGCTTATCTATGCAATTAATTAATTAATTATTCCTATGAAGGAGATAGATGTTCAAAATGTCAGGAAGGTGGTTACACTTAGGGACTCATCTAGAGAGGAGGGCCCAGGAATATTGTCTCTAAAAATGGAAATCTTATGAAAATGGAAGAATTTATATACTAGGAAGAACATGAAAAATTCTATATTTTGTTTTCTATTCCTTTTTATACTACTTTTAAAACCATGACAATGTATTACTAATATTCCTAGTAATATAATCTGTTAACATTTACTGAGTGTTTATTATGTGTCAAGTACATTATTCCTTTCAATCCTCACAATAGAGGAGAAAATTGAGGCTCTGATTGAGTGACTTTGTGAAAGTCACCTGATTAATGGGTAGTGGAGCCCAGTTGGATATACAGTCTGAGTACAGAGCCTACAATTTAAAAAGTTAGGAAAATAATAATACCAGGTAACCCTTACAGAAGGCTTATTATGTATTAGGCATAAGTTAACTCATTTAATTCTGGTAAGAACTTTTGGAAGTAGGTATTATCATTTCCATTTTATATGAGGAAGCTGAGCTACAGAGAGATTAAGTACATTGGTGGCCAAGATTATACAATTGATGGCTGAGACACTGCTAATACACCTCACTATTTTATATTATACTACATTAAAGCTATTTGTTGTACTTTTGCTCATTTATATACATCATTTTACATAGCTGCACTTAACAATGTTCCTATAATTGAGGTATTCTGTTTTGTTTTATCTATCATTATAGCAAAAGTATTTTCCCTCATTAGAGCTATAAACATCTTTTTCTTTTTCCTTCCCTCCCCCCACCCTCAGTTGTTGGCGTCAATAGTGTTTATTTGTTGGTTTTACTACAGGCATAGAGGATTGAGTTAATCATCTTCATCAGTCGATAGTTGATGGTACATTATCATCATGGACTGTGAAAGGCCTCCCCCACCCCATCCTATTCCCCATTCCCATCCCCTCTCCCTTCAGACAGCCACTCTAATATTGCTATGTCCTTAAATATGTATGCATTATAAAACACTTAGTATTGGTTTATGCATGTTTTTCTTTTATTGAGATATAATTCACATACCATAAAATTTACCCTTTTAAAATATACAATTCAGGCTGGGCATGGTGGCTCACGCCTGTAATCCTAACACTCTGAGAGGCCAAGGCGGGCGGATTACTCGAGGTCAGGAGTTAGAAACCAGCCTGAGCAAGAGCAAGACCCCATCTCTACTATAAATAGAAAGAAGTTAATTGGCCAACTAATATATATAGAAAAAATTAGCCGAGCATGGTGGCGCATGCCTGTAGTCCCAGCTACTCAGGAGGCTGAGGCAGGAGGATCGCTTGAGCCCAAGAGTTTGAGGTTGCTGTGAGCTAGGCTGATGCCACGGCACTCACTCTAGCCTGGGCAACAAAGCGAGACTCTGTCTCAAAAAAATAAAAAAATAATAAATAAATAAAAATAAAGTATACAATTCAGTGATTTTCAGTATATTCACAAAGTTGTGCAACAATATCTAATTCCAGAACATTTTCATCACCCCTAAAAGAAACTCTGAAACCATTAACATTCACTTTCTATTTCTTGCCCTAAACCTCCAGCAACCACTAATCTGTAATCTACTATTGAGTGTGTTTTTAATTTTTCACAAAATGTGCTACAGAACTTGTCATGTTTCTTACATTTTCACACAACTCTATGTTTGTAAGATCTGTTCATGTTGCCAGGTTTGGCATTTCTAAAATGCTGCATGGGCCGGGCACGGTGGCTCACGCCTGTAATCCTAGCACTCTGGGAGGCCAAGGTGG